GTTGGCTACCTCCTGCATCAATGGGGATCGAGCCCGCAATTCCAGCATGTGCCCTGCCTGACTGGGTATCAAACCATGCCCTCCTGGTCCATGGGTCAACACTCAGCCACTGAGCCACACCGACCGGACTATAGTTTTGTAACTCTGCTGTTTTTAGTTCCTTCTGATAGGATATTTATTGCCTTCATTTATTTTGAAGGTTAACTCACTTATGTTAAGGCCCTTACAGAAATGTCATTTAATATCATTTATGAAATGTAATACTTTTTGTTCTGAAGATATAAGGCAATACATACATACATTACAAAGTAGATTTAAATTGTGTATGTTTTCATTCGTGTTTAATATGATGATTTATACTTTTCAAAATTTTAATACTCAGAGAGACAACATATGTGTGTGAATTCTGCTGAATTCAAAACAAACAAGAACCAGTTCAACCTGATGACTCTATTTTTGTGTGCAATGAAGTTTTGTCATCATTGCATTTTAGCAATAATGTTCAGTGGTAAGAATGTGCGGCATGGCCTGCCATTTTTTGATGTCACAAGTATCTCTCTAGTCAATGAGTACAAAGGAAGAAAAAGGTGGCTTATGATAAGTGAACAAAATGAAATATGTATGGCTTATCTTCTAGGAATTTTCACCTGATTCATATTTGAAAATGAATTGAAAAACTCAGAGAGGACCTAAAATAAAAAAATAAAAAGAAAGAAAGAAAAAGAAAAGAACAGGAACATTATAATTTAAAAAACATAAAAAAATATGTCATTCAATGTCTCATCATTATTAAAGGTTAGGATACACTAAAAAATGTAATTAGAAACTTTGAATATTTGTCTTTATCCTCAGTAGAAAAATAAAGATTGATAATAATGGAAGTCAGGGTGGCAGGTTGTGAATCTGTGGAAGTTTTGTAGGATAATTATCATCTTTCACTTTAATAAATAATCATAAAATGATATCTTGCACTTCTAGAAATAGCTGATGCCAGAGAGGAATAGGGCCACAGGCATAATGTACTTTTAAAACTTTTAGTAAGAAACAGAGGTATTTATGATGACAGCCCTGAAATGCCATCAAAGAGCCAGGATCAAGGTAATTTGATTTCTCCCTTTTTCTTTCCCCCTAACAAGAGAGAAAGAAGAGCCAGAGTACAAGAGGAAGGAAATATGAGAAGAAAAATATGAAATTATAAATAGACAAGGAGGAGAATTCTACACAGACTAAAGATTCAAGGCTCTGAGAGCAGGTGCCCTTGTCCAAAATGCAGTGAGCACCTGAGCGCACTTTTTCTTGGTGCCTGAGCTCCATAGCCTTTCCTTTTCTCCCAGACCATCTCCCAGGAAAAGCTGCGTTTAGGTTGTTTCCAAGATATCAAGCACATAATTTCAAGATCTTATAAACATGCTGCTCTAAAAACATCTATAAATTAAATGTTACATTAACAAACCAACTAAAGAGTTATAATCATTCAAGAAGGCTTATTACAGATGTTTAAATGTCTTCTATTGTCAGTGTGCAACTGCCATGCAAAGGGTTTCCCACTTCAACCCTATAATTACCTGCTATATTTCTTAGAACCAAATTAATTACCCAAAAAATTAAATCTGTTCAAAAGTTAAATGACCTATATTCTTTTCTATCTTGATTTACTTTTCATCATTAAATATTTTTTCAGTGAATTTTAAACTCTGATTTTAAGGGGATGAGTAGAAAACAATAGGCAGTAATAATTAAGCCATATATGCACAATTTATTATTTACACATGGACTGAATTCATAAATGCTTGGCTCTAATACTGATATAGTCCAAGTATAAGAAAACAATAACATAACAATTTAAATTAGGTAGATCAATTTTAGTAATATTTTCCTGGAATAAACTATTAAATAAGATTTCTGAAATCAGCAAGAGTATTCCCTATCATTAGGACATATATTCACTTTTTTGTCTGCTTAAGATATAAAATTATACATATGTATATAAATATGAGTATATATGCACATATGTATACATACATAAATGAAAATTATGACTCCATATTATATACACATGTACTCTCAAATTGTCAGCTTGAACAAAAATAAAATACAAGGATTAAGTCTAGAAGGTGAAATAATGCAGAGGGCATTTGCCCAGTCTGTTCTAATCCTTATTTATTGTTACTACCAGGCATAAAGCAAACTTTTGAGAAAGCATAAAGATTTTTTATAAAGTTTGCTTTTATTCTTGAGCTCAATTTTCAAATATTTCTATGTTTCTGACTTTCGGAACTATCTTTTAAAAGTTGAAATACTCTTTTTAAAAATGAAGCTTTAAAACTACTGCAAAACCCAGTTTCTCTTGAGATATTTCTGGTCAGAACTGCAACCCGAAAACCCAGGTAGTAATTACAAGTTAATTTAAGAATAATTGATATGTCAAAATTATTTTTTAAAGATTCACCATTTTAATTCTAATTAATGCTTTTAAATAAAGAATGTAGACGCAAGAGTTATTTGGATATGTTTTACAACCCAATTTTGCCAGAATCCTTCAGTCAGTTTGTAACAACTCTTTTATTGAGTTAGCATATGTTTGCTGCTTTTTCTTTGTAGATTAAACCTACACACAAAACAATTATCTGAGGAAATGCTTAGTACATTATATTTGTGCTGTCTTTCTAACTGGATAATAAATTATAGAGAGTTCACTATTATGCATTCCATTAGGGTTGCCTAGACCCTTGTCCTTCTATGATGAAAATATGTCATAGAAACAATATAATTTCTTTTTCCTGCTCCTTTTTATATTTTCCTTAATATATGGAGTTATAGAGCTTCCAAGCTTCTAGTGCTTTATGTAAAGATCTTGTTAAATTGCTAACTTGTTGAATTCTCATTTCAGATTTGTCCTTGCCTCAAGGCTTCAGTCTGATTGGATGTTGATGCTGTATTTTGCACATACTCATTTGACTGTGACAGTCACCATTGGGTTACTTTTGATTCCAAAGGTACTCCTCTGACATTACTTTTCTCTTCCAAGACAATTATCTTATATGAGCCTCAAGTTGTTTCTCCTTTAAAACGACCTGGCAATCTAGGCAAAGGGAGGTGTGGAGATTTGCTTGACATCTAAAGTGTTTTTAAAGCTCCCTCCTCAGGAAACTAGGTGTCTGTCTGTCTGTTTGTTTGTTTGTTTGTTTGTTTTGGGGGGTGGGGGGATTTATTAAATATATCACATAATTGTTAAATGACAATTAGTACAAAACCCATCAACTGCTTTAGTCCTTTTCCAAGTATTTTGATATCCTGTTATGTTTTAATTATTATGGATTCAAAGTGGCTTTCATAGTAGCTATAACATCAAAATAATTTTTAAAGATAATTATACTGTTCTAAGAATTCTCTTATTTGGGATTTATATTCAGAGAAATTATTTTAAACATTTGGACAATTTTTATTTAAATAGAAATAATTATAATATTATACATAGAAAAGTCTTGCTTAATAATGATAGATTATGACAAAGACTTATGTAGGCAGCATAATGAAGCAGCGAAAATGGGCCAGGACTCAATACATGGATCCTAAACTCAGACGAGCTATATAATATGATATTAGCCAAGACTTTTTATCTCTCTGAGTTTGTTTCCCCCTCTGTGACATGATCGTGATAGCAGTAAGGTTGCCTGGAATGAAATAAAATATCAGAGAACAAACGGATTATATAAATGACAGCATTATCATTATTTTCCTCTTTTACAAGAGCTCAGTCTTGGCCACTGCCACACAATACTGCATTAGCATGGCTGAAACAAGAACTGTGATCTCTTGTCTTTCACCCCAGGCTTTACCTCAACCCTCAGACTTAACCAACACATTGAGATGCAGCCTGATTGAAAAGGCCAAATGATTATTTTTAAAAAGCAAATACCTATTTTATTCCTTATTTCAATTATACCAAAAAGCCACAATGTTCATGGATTAGTCTGTTACTGAGACTTATCTTAACCATTTTTATACATTGCATAGTATGATAACATTAGATGGATGCATACTCAGACTATTCATTCATTCAATAAATTGCTATTGAGGTCCTAAGAAAATTGAAAACATAGGTTCATACAAAAACTTGTACATAAATGTTCATAGTTGCACTATTGATTCTAGCCAAAAAGTGGAAGTAGCCCAAATTTCCATCAACTAATAAATGTATAAATAAAAGGTGGTCTATCCATACAGTGGAATATTATTCATCAATAAAAAGGAATAAAGCACTGATACATGCTATACCTTGTACAAAACTCGACAACATTTTGCTGAGTGAAAGAAGCCAGACACAAAAGGCCACATATTGTATGATTCAATTTATGTGAAAAGTCCCGGTTAGACAGCTCTATAGAGACACAAGGCACTTCAGTGGCTGTCATGGGCTAGGTTTAGTGGAGGACAAATGGAAATGACTGCTTAATGAGTTAAAGGTTTCTTTTAGGGGTGTTGAAAATATTCTGTAAGTCAACCTTGTGGATATACTAAAAACCATGGAATTGTATAATTTTATGGTAAGTGAATTATATCTCAGTAACAGATAATTTAAAAAAAAATTTTGAGGGGCTTTGCTAAGCACTGTTCTAGATCCTGGAATACAGTAATGGATAGATAAAAATCTGTGCTCTTGTGGTAATTATATTCTGAAGGACATTATAAGAAACAGAAAAGATAAATATCTGAAATAGTATTTTAGGGAGAAGCACAAAGAAAGATTAAAAAGCAGGAAGTAGACCATATCTGACAAATAACTGTTTCTTAAACTCACGATGGTCTCTAAGCTTTTGTTCAAGAAAACAAAACAAACAGACAAACAAAAAACATCTCCATTCTCATAAATAAGCTCCAGGTGATTTGACTAGTAGCATGGGATAATTAAAGGACAGGGACTATATTTTACTCATCTTTATGGCCTTAAGTTGATGGTACATGTTGGAACCACAAACATAAGTAGAGCAATGAAGGAAAGGCTCATCAGTTTCTGTGGTTTCTCAGCCAGTCCCAATTACAAAACAGCCATTGTTACTTAAAAAGAGAATTATCTTTTCACATGGTATCTCTATTTATGTCTATTTTCCTACCCAAATATTTTAATGGACAATAACATTAAAATATCTCTATTATCAAAGGGTGATCTGTTAATTTTTTAAAAATATACTTTTATTGATTTCAGAGAGGAAGGGAGAGGGAGAGAGAGATAGAAACACCAATGATGACAGAGAATCATTGATCTGCTGCATGCTCCCTACTGGGGGACCTAGGGATTGAGCCTGCAACTGGGCATGTGCCCTGATGGGGAATCAAACCATGACTCCCTGGTTCATGGTTCGACACTCAACCACTGAGCCACACCTGCCGGGCAATGATCTGTTAATTTTGTAAAGAAACATTTGTAAAGGACTTGATGACAAGCTGGGAGAAGGCACCCATGTTCTCTAAACTGTTCTCTCAATTTTCATAGGACAATCACTTGGTTTACATATTGTGTAAAGAGTGGCTGGGTTGTTTTAATTCTCCCTGCTTTCCATCATTTACCCAATTCACTCTTCCTCCCTTCTCCTTTTGAAGAATAGAGATAGTAAGAATACATGAAACTGAAAAATAGCAAAACACCACATGAAAAATAATAAAAATATGTCAAAATATGATGAAGGAGGGGCTTGAGAAAAAAAATTAGGTAACCTCACTGACTCTTTTAATTTTGAACTTAGATACCATGTAGCCCAGAGTCCTTTAGGCGGAGGAGCACTGTGCTGAGAGGTCCATGCTTGCTTAAGACCTCACTGTCAACCCTGCGAGGCTGGAATTCAGATCACCTGCTCCCCGAGTCTTAAAAGAAACCTTTAAAAAATACTTGAAATTTCTTTTTAAATTACAGTGACATACAACATTTTATTAGTTTCAGTGGCACAACATAGTGATTAGACATTTATATAACTTACAAATTGATGCCCCCGATAAGTCTAGTACCCACTTGGCACCATACATACTTATTATAATATTACCAACTATATTCCCTCTGCTTTACTTTACATTCCTGTGACTATTTTATGATTACCAATTTGTACTTCTTACTCCCTTCACCTTTTGAAAGGAGACTTTTTTGAAGCTCTGTGTGGTAGACTGAAAGTCACATTTCTGTGATCAGGGCCAATTGTGCCCAGAGGTGAAATACGGCCTCCCCTATGTGAAGCAACATGATAAACATGAGGCAGACCCTACTGTTCAAAAAAAAAAAATCCCATCTATCTGCTACTCTCAGAGAAAATTTCTGTGTATTCTTTACTTGTTTGCGAAGTGCAGATATTGTGGAAGAGGAGAAATATAAGTTGACACTGGGAGCCTAGATAAAAATCAAACAGGGAGCAAAGTACCTCAAGTGTGTGACATGGAAAGCAAGACACTAATGTAGTGCAAAATTTTGTAAAGAGTTCAGTAAATAAATTCATCTAAGTTGAAGAAATGATAATAACGTTAGGACTTTTAGAAAATTTTTGTTAAAATGCTATGTCTTACAGTAATGTCTAGAGCTCAGATTGAATATCTATTTCAGTTTTCACATTCAAGCAATAACCCACGCGATGACATTGCTACAGAAGCATATGAGGATGAGCTAGACATGGGCCGGTCTGGATCCTACCTGAACAGCAGTATCAACTCAGCTTGGAGTGAGCACAGCTTGGATCCAGAGGACATCCGGGTAACACCAGTATTTCTCTTCTATTTCAGATTAGTCCCATTTATACAGGCAAGCATACGTGGGTTAGTGTTTATGTGTGTCCATGCGTGTGCATATGTGTGTTAGAAAGAAAGTGAGAAAATGTGTGCTTAGGTACAAACTGAAGACATAAAGTGCAGAGTTAATCCTGTTCTAAAACGTGTAATCATGGTATAAATTAGAATGCACAAACCAATCTTGATAGTCTCAACTGACTTTTTGTCAGTCATAACGATGAACTTGTTATACATGTTCCATAATATGGTTTGTGACATTTTGCTGTGCGCAGAGAGCCTGGATTAATTAAAATAATCTGTGGCGATGTGTCAGCATTTGGAGGAAGAAGATGCTTTTAGTATTTGATGGCCTGCCATCCCCTAAACGTAATCTAACTTAGGTACAACTTTATCAATGGCTACATGATGCTTCCAATATTGTTGCAGGGATATGTTTTATCAGTAGACAATATAGTATGTTTTATTATGGTCCAGGCTCAGCCTGGCCCACAAAACTTGCAAGTTCAAAGTTCTTGCTCCATAAAGCAAGGCTAGCATGCATGGGTTTATGTCTTAAAGTGTCAACTCTGTGTGAAACCAAACACGAAATAATCAGAAAGTAAGAATGTGGAGAAAGTTGATGAGTAGAAGTGTTAGGAAGAGCTAAACAATTTCCATAAAGAGCTCAAGCTGATTGAATTAAAGTGACCATCAGTGATATTATTTGGGTGAAACACTAAATTCCACACCTCTGTGAATTTCCTCTTGTTCTGGCAGGATGAGCTGAAGAAACTCTATACCCAGTTGGAAATATATAAAAGGAAGAAGATGATCACAAATAACCCCCACCTCCAGAAAAAGCGGTGCTCCAAGAAGGGCTTGGGCCGATCAATCATGAGGCGTATCACCGAGATCCCAGAGACGGTCAGCAGACAGTGTTCCAAAGAAGACAAGGAATTCACAGATCACAGCGCCGCCAAAAGCACTGCCCTCGGCAGGAAGAACCCACAGGAGTCGTCAGGCAACACTGGGAAACCCAAGGAGGAATCCCTGAAAAACCGAGTCTTCTCACTGAAGAAATCCCACAGCACTTACGATCATGTGAGAGACCAAACGGAAGAGTCCAGTAGCTTACCCACTGAAAGCCAAGAGGAGGAAGCCACAGAAAAATCCACTCTGGAGTCTCTGTCGGGCAAACAGCTAACACAGACACTGAAAGAAAACAGCGAGGCTGAGTCCACGGAGTCTGTGCCTTTGGTGTGTAAGTCAGCGAGCGCTCACAATCTCAGCTCAGAGAAGAAGCCCGGGGGGCATCCCCGAACATCCATGTTACAAAAGTCTCTCAGTGTCATAGCAAGCGCCAAGGAGAAGACGCTTGGGTTATCTGGGAAAACCCAGACATCAGGTGTGGAAGAACGTGCTAGATCCCAGAAACCTCTGCCAAAAGATAGAGAGACCAACAGAAAACCCTCAAACTCAGATAACACAGAGACTAAAAATTCTGTCCCCCAAAACTCTAATAATCTGGAAGAGCCGAGAAAACCTCAGAAGTCTGGGATTATGAAGCAACAAAGGTCCAACCCCCCTACTGCTAATTCTGACATGAGCCTAGTCACCACCCAGGTGAAGGACAACTGTGACATAGGGGAAGTGTGCCCTTGGGAGATTTATGACCTCACCCCTGGTCCTGTGCCTTCAGAATCAAAAGTTCAAAAGCATGTATCTATTGCGGCTTCTGAAATGGAGAAAAACCCAACCTTTTCCTTAAAGGAGAAATCTCATCACAAGCCCAAGGCAGCGGAACTATGTCAGCAATCCAATCAGAAGAGCATAGACAAGGTTGAGGTCTGCCCTTGGGAGAGCCAAGGTCAGACCCTTTTTGAAGATGAGAAGCATTTGATTTCTAAGACTCAGGTTCCCCCAGGGAGAGCAAAAGATGAGAATGGTGGTCAGCGTTGTGCAGCCACTGTGTGTGCTGGGCAATATGAAGAACTGCCCCCCAGAGTTGTAGCATCAAAAATAGAGAATGAAAATCTCAACCAAATAGGAGACCAGGAAAATAAGACATCTTCCTATCATTCAAGTAATAATTTTCAGCAGCCTTTCACATTGCGAGCTGAGGTGTGTCCTTGGGAGTTTGAGACCCCAGATAAGCCAAATGCCGAAAATAGTGTAGCTTTACCTGCCTCTTCGACTTTAAATGCAAATAAGGTAGCAGGGTCTCGAAAATAAGAGATCTGGGATACTTTCAAAGTAGCATTCCCCAGAAAGAAAAAGAAGAAACCCTGAATGTGATAAGACTGAAGATAGAAGGATCAAAAATTCCCAAAGAGTATTTGTCAATCAGGGAAAACATGGAAGGCATGGGCGGAGGAAAACTTAAGGAGGGGAGAGAGACATCATCATGGGGAAGTTAGACTGGCCCCAAAGTCTTTCCCTGTAACACTAGGAAAATCTTTACATTCAGCATGTTTGGAGGAAGTAGCCCTCAGTGTCTGCCCCTGACCAATATTTACCCATGGGACTTTGGAGATCCTAAGCCAGGCAAACCAGAAGACACAGAAGAGGCCTGAGATTTGCAAAGAAGAAGGTATAAATGAATATGACGGAAATTCTAAGTAGCTGACGGAAAAGAACTTACTTTACCTATATAATCTTGATAGCACTGCTAACTTAATGCATCCCAGAATACCTTTTCTATCAATGATTGCTCTCATTTTCTTATAAATGTATGTTTCAGTACATTGTTGTGTCTCATATTCAAGCATTCCAGATTGTATAATTTTTGCAAATAACTTTGATATTATGTGACACACATTTATGCAATCTTCAGCTACTCAATTGTTCTTGCAACTTACAGAATACCTGTTATCTATCAACTTTAGTTGATTCTTGAAGTATAATAAGCTTTCTCTGGCTTGGGAAGTCATAATTGTTATGAAAAAAATATTTCAGTTTTGTGACTTAGATATTGCAAATTTGGATTAACTATTATTTCACTTCACGGTTTGTTATACTGTCTTAATCAGGGTTTTTAATACAAGTCACGTTACTTGTTTTGCACTTCTCGTTAGGGCTGAGAAGCTTGATTAATATCGAAGATCAAATGGTCCTACATAGTCTTACGTCTCAATTAGTTAAGGACAACTTAATCTATTGTTTGAAGTCAGAGAGATGATGCCTTCATTCCAAATAATTATCCCTTTTAACTCTTTCAGTATTTCATACTTAGCAGCATTTTATAAGGAAGAAACTAAGAGTGAGAACAATATACTGTGCATTATTATTACCATTGGAAAGGGAAGACTCTAGGAATGACATGAGAATTACTGTAGAGCCAGGAAATTTGCCTTTCAAAGCAGATGAAAAGGGAGCTCCTGATAGCACTTTCAAGGGGTTATTTTTTTAAAGAAAAATATTATGATTACATCCATATTATTATATGGTGTATTTTTATTGTGCATACTAAATATAGAATATTTTCAATGACCTTAAAGTATTTATTCTCATAAACTCTTATTCATTGCTTCAGCTAGGGCTAGAACTTGCTGGGCTCAGATCCCAAAGAGATTTATAACCCGGTTTATCCCAAGCCTATAAGGTGGTATGGGCTCATCCTTCTCCCAAGCACTTGAAAACGTACAAGTCCTGCAAATGGCCATTGTGAACCGTCTAGTTCGCAATGTAAAACGCAGAGGTTTATTTGCAAGGCAGAACAATCCCCAAAGCATATTTCATACAATTTATTTCACTCCACACTGGTCACTTGGTGTGAAAATCCTAAGTTGCTGACTTGGCCCTGTTGGTGTGACTGTACAAGGAGATTCTATTTCAAAGCTCAGTTTCACTGTATTTAAAGATGAGTCACTTAAACATGGGACCCAGACTTCCCTTTCTGTCACCCTAAACACTGACATCTCAACGGCTTATCTGGCCAGGACACTTCCAGCAGAAGTAACTTTTTGATTTCATGAGCAACAAGGGACACATGCTAGGAGGATAAAAGATGAGAAAGGGGATCAGGGATGGATACAGGGCTTTTCTTGGAGAATAGCATTCTCAGTGGATGATAAAAATGAGGACTTCTTTGCATTCATTATCAGAATTTCCTCAGTGGTTTTATTCAGGAGTAAGTGAGCCCTTCACCATGTTGCAAAGCTGTGCACAAATCCCCCTCACCCGGTTCCTCACTCTGTGCATTACTCAGGTTTGTGGGCAGGTTTGAAGACATAGGAATTCTATTTTTCTGTGTGTTTCCTTCATTTATTTTCTCTTCCCTTCCTTTTCAATCAAGGCCTATCTACTTGGTAACTTAGAAATACAATGTTATGGTGTATTTGTGTACCTGTTTCTAGATCCACGTACTTGTTTATGTCTGAGATCAGTTAGCACTTTATTCACTTTTTGAGAAATAAGCAGTCAAGCATCAGTGACTTTTTATTGCACTTCAGAGTAATCCTGCTTCAGGTGTGGCTTAAAGAAGACTTGCCAAAGTTCACCTTAGTCTATAGATTTTTCTCCACCAGCATAAATCAGCAAGAGTGCTTATGTTCTTTCCTAGAGTTTCATTGTCATTACTTGTCGCCGAGAGAAGTTGAAATCTATAATCTATAATTCTTGAGTTTATTTTCCCAGATTGATAATAAGGAAGTGATATAAACACTAATAAGGTCACAAACACTTGCTAGGTTGTCCTTCTCAGTGCATGTGCGAGCTGCATCCTGTCCTTGTTTTTAAGCCAGGGTTTATAAATAAGTAGATTTATACCAATTTAACAGAACTGTATATTTTATGCCAGAATTAAATGCTTTATGACATGAATTATAACTCAACCCATTGTAAACTTTGGTGGCAATATGGATTTGAAACTGGACAGTTCTCTTGTATTTGCTTCATAAGTTTCTGCATGCAAGTGATGACAGGTAGGACTGAAAAACACTGCCTTTGACTTCTAGCATTTAGCAACCGAGAGCTGTAGAGTCTATAAAGCTATAAGTCTCTTCACTCACTCTGTGGTTATTCTGAAACTATTATCTGAAACCCACCATGAAATGTTTGGTAAATTTATGTTGTGACATGTTGCAGCATGTAAATAATTATAACATCTCTGCAATAAAACATTTATATGAAAGTGATTTGTGGTGATTTGTACGTTCATCTATTGAAAATCAAGTTGATTTTCCCTAGCCAACTTTAGAAAGAATCCTATATATCTTTGGCTTTGGCACACTTATGTATTTATAGGAATGTATGATGAGCCAAATGTGGTCTCAAACATACAAGTAACGATTTGGAGCCAATAAAACCTGTTAGGACCAGTGCTTTTGACTTAAAAAAGCTCTAGCTACCTTAAGCTACCTTTTTTAATTTACTCAACACACATACCAGGCAATCAGCTAAGCAATGACGATGATCTTTAGATGAACAAGAGATCCAGCAACAGTCAGTCCCATAAGAGTATCCAGACACTGCTGTGATAATAGAGAGGAGATTCTGACAGTCACTGAGTCAGTGCAGGCTCAATAAAGAGGGCAGGTACACCAGGCTGAAATTCTGCAGAGGCTTTAGGTATGAAAGGGAAA